AACATATTTTGCAGAGCATGTTTACATTTTATTTTCATATAACTTTGCCTAAAATGGTCACAGACTTTAGCTCTGATCTTTATCTCTGCATATTTCCTTTGCTAGATTAGAAAACCCTAAAAATTAGGAAGCTGGACACAAATCTTACCTATGAGAGGTAGACTCACTGGGAAGCTATTAACCCCAAAGTGTAACAACAAAAGGTCCCCTGATCTTTACTGAAAGGATTACATTTTTATACATGTTAGGTCATAAAATCATGTCATTAATTTATGGGATTAAGGATTATTTCCATTTTACAGGAAGACTAAGACTGTAATGCTAAAATCTAGACAGTTGCCATGTTATTTCTTAGAGCTCGTAAAATGGGTGTGAAAATTATTTTGTCCTTCTCTGTTTTGATTTTGTTCCTAACTTAGGCAGTTACTCTAACATTAGTGTTGGTTTTATTATGAATAATGAATTCAGCATTAGAAAGAGGTGTTTGGCTAAAAGCAATAGTATTTTTTAAAATTAGAAAACCAGGATATGAAAGTTTAGTGAGTCTTTATAAGAGCTCTGAATCCTTGAAGTTATGGAATCAGATTTCAGATGAATACATCCTTGTCTTTTCTCCGTATTTTATAGTGACTTTGTTTATACTGTAGCAAAATGGCGATGAAGTAACTTAGAACTTCAGGTAAGGGAATATGCTTAACAAAAGAAGTGTCATGAATCAAACAGTCCTGTCATCTACACAAATGGAGCCAACAGTCTTCACTAGGATCAAAAACCAACGCGGGTGAATCTCCAAAGGAATGAACGAGTAGGATGGATCTTCGGGGGATGCTTTGTGAAAACAGCCAATCTCAAAAACATTACAAACTATATAAATTCTTTCAAATAACGGTTTTGAAAGAATCAAATTGTAGATGTGGAGATTAGCGGTTGCCAGGGGTTGGAGCCTGGGAAGGAAGTGCCAGGAGGAGGTTGGTGTGGCTTTGATGGGGTAGCAGGAGGGAGCTCTGTAACGGTGGTTAGACGACGCTGCGCAGGTGATAAAACTGCACAATGACACAGACACAGACACACACGCACATGCCCAATCTGATAGTGTTCTCCAGTTAATACAAGATGTCATCATTGGAGAAAGTGCTGAGTGAAAGGTACATGTGATCTTCTGCACATTTTTTTTTTTGGGGCAGCTATCTGTGAACCTATTATTATTCCAAAATAATTTTTTTTCAAAACTCAGCTATCTTCTTGTCACAAAGGGGCCCATGAGGCCAGGCAGTAACATAAATAAGTGAAGTGGCTGGGAACAGGGAGCGTGAGCTCTGGCTGTTCTCACAAAGGCAGCTGCTATTTCATTGGCACCTACCCCTGTGGGACTGCGTGCCTGGATTTGCTCTCTTCTGAGGGCTGCTTCTGTTTTTATAAAATACCCAAAACTGAAATTTTGAAAAGAAATCTCATTTTATTGATAACTAACTCTACCTTTTTTTTTTTTAAATTATTAATGTTTTTATTTATTTCTGAGAGACAGAGAGAGACAGTGTGAGCAGAGGAGGGTCAAGGAGAGAGGGAGACACAGAATCTGAAGCAGGCTCCAGGCTCTGAGCTGGCTGTCAGCACAGAGCCAGACGTGGGGCTTGAACCCAGGAACCAGGAGATCATGACCTGAGCCGAAGTCGGACGCTTAACCGACTGAGCCACCCAGGTGCCCCTAACTCTACCTTTTTGGAACACTATATAATAGGCCAAACTAAAGATATGAGAGGACTGGATTCAGTCTAATGATGTCTGTGTGAACTCAGCTTCAGGCCAGCGGTTCAAGTTGGGCTTGAGATAAACTGCCCACTTGATGACCTGGCAATCTCAAAATGCAGCTCATGCTCCTCTGTGGTTCCTTCCAAAAGACTGAGAAATGGGTTCCCTTGAGGAAGTAAGTTTTCTGATCAGGCCACTAATGAAGACAGTGTAAGCTAGTTCAGTGACACCCAGGGACCCTGGAGGATGTTGGTTTGAGGACAGCTCTGACTGATGCCTCCGCTGTTGGCATCCTCCTGAAAGCTCTGGCCAGGACCTTCACAGCCACTCCTCAGCCTGTGCCTGGCACATGGTCGGGTGCCTAGTCTGCATTTTTACAAGTGTTCCTTTATGTTTATCTTAGTTCCTTTATTTTTGACGCCAAGTGCAGGACACCTTGGTGGCTCAGTTGGTGGAACGTCAACTCTTGATTTCAGCTCAGGTCATGATTCCAGTGTTGTGGGATTGAGCCCTGTGTTGGGCTCTGTGCTGGGCATGGAGCTTGCGTAAGATTTTCTCTCTCTCTTTCTCTTTGCCCCTCCCCTGCTCTCATGTGCGTGCTCTCTCTCTCTCTCAAAACAATAAAGATAACTTTAACAAGCTAAGTAAGTTGTACAGAAACTGAGAAAAGGAGCCAGTATCTGGATCCTATTCTAGAGCTTTCCTGAGATGGATACAATGGTCTGGTGAAAGCACTTTCCATGAGTAGCACTCACAACGTCTGTGTCCTCTTGAAGCTCTGAATGTAAACCTTTGGCGAATTAGTACAAACGAGCAGAGGCAGGTGCTGACGGGGTCATTATTCTGGTTTAGGCCTTTAGACGCTTTCTCATCTCTGGCCAGATTCTAGTCATCCTTCTTCCCCAACTCCCAACCTGAACAACTGACTCAGAAGAAGTGAAAAGGAGGATGGAGCTAACCGCATATTCTCCCCCATAGCCACATCATGAGCCAGCAACATCCCTTCACCCTCCACTGTCAGCAACATCGTGGGTGCCAGTCAGGCTCTTTCTGTCTTCAATCTCTGGTGGATAAAGCACACCCAACTCCTTCAGGAAGGAAGGGAGTAGAACAATTTCAATTTTTAAAAGTTAGGATTTTAGGGGTGCCTAGGTGGTAAGTCAGTTGAGCGTCCGACTTCAGCTCAGGCCATAATCTTGTGGTCCATGAGTTCGAGCCCCGTGTCAGACTCTGTGCTGACAGCTCAGAGCCTAGAGCCTGCTTTGGATTCTATGTCTCCCTCTCTCCCTGCCTCTCTCCCACTCACATTCTCTCTATCTCTCTTTCAAAAATGAATAAACATTAAAAAAAATTTTTTTTAAATAAAATAAAATTAGGATTTTAATTTAAGTCACAAAATTAAATCTTAAAATTTCATCTATGGCTTGGGGCACCTGGGTGGCTCAGTCAGTTAAGCATCCAACTCTTTTTTTTTTTTTTTATGTTTTATTTATTTCTAGGAGAGAGAGAGAGACAGCGTGAACAGGGGAGGGTCAGAGAGAGGGAGTCACAGACTGAAACAGGCTCCAGGCTCTGAGCTGGCAGTCAGCACAGAGCCCGACGCGGGGCTCGAACCCACGAACCGCGAGATCATGACCTAAGCGAAAGTCGGACGCTTAACCGACTAAGCCACCCAGGCGCCCCTTAAGCATCCAACTCTTGATTTTGCTCAGGTCATGATCTCACAGTTTGTGAGATCAAGCCCCCCACTGAGCTCTATGCTGACATCACAAAGCCTACTTAAGATGCTCTCTCTTCCTCTCTGACCCTCCCTCTTCTCAAAATAAATAAATAAACATGAAAGAAACTTAAGAATTTCACCTATGGCTCAATTATACATTCTCAAATTTAAATAGATTTATTGAAAGATTTATTTGCATGATTTCTGCTCCCTGTCGTCCTCCCCCCACCCCCCGCACCAAAGTCTGCTAATAAGGGTCCAGAGGATGTTTTCTAATGCTGCTTTAAAAAAGAATGTTTGTATAAGATAGCAATGGACCAAGCTCAGGGACATACTTGAACCTGGGGGTTCCTGGGGACTTGTTTTGGAAAAAACTTGAAATACAATTACAAAGGAAAAAAAAAAACCCAGGCATTTGTAGGTATTACGTAATTATAAATCAATAAATGAGTCTTTTCCTGTTTACCGTTTTTTACCAAGCTTCACATAATATGCAGACTTTTAAAGGGTTGGTGCTGAGCCTGGAAAATTATGCTAATGAGGTAAGAGCAATAATTTAAAGTAGCCACTAATTTCTCGAAGGGGAAATATGCAGAGACCCTGGGCTCCACGTTTGTTTTCGACTAATTATCATGTATTTACTTTTCCATTAGTCCAATAATTTTTCTTTCAATTCAGAATTAAGCAATAAGACACTGAATTATATAAAGGGCTGTTTAGCACAGCAGACACACCCCATCATTCCCTAGTCCTCTGATTTACAGCTCTTAAAATGCATAACCAAGAGGCTGTCTATATGCCCTTTAGTATTTACATCCCATCACGCCGTCACCTCAATAACTTATGCATTCTCGAAAGGACTACCTAGCAATTAACTCCAGGCTTTTGTAACTCCCCATCTCATTATGCAAAGTGGATTTGAACACAAACTTTATCGGCAGCAACTTTTAGTTCGAATTCTGTCTTATTTCCACCACCCTCACTCTGCCTGGTAACGTCAGTGTATGTGTAACCAAAAGGCTATGGAAAATGGCAGTTAAAAAAAAATTGACATTGGACTGGCAGCACATTTAGTAATTGTTCTTTGCACTGTGGGGCACTACCATAAATTGAGATTGTCATATTTCAGCTGAAGCATGTGATGCAATTCTTTATAGAAATGGAAATGAATTCTCCCTGTCACACAACACAGCATTTTAACTATGTTCAGGAGAAATGGGCAAGTAAGCAAGCTATTATTTTTACTCTAAAGGTTAAAAAAGAACCAACAAACCCAAAACTCTTTGATAGAAGGCAAGGAAATTCAGAGTATAGCTTTTTTAAGCCCTACAAACAGCGGGGGGATCCTTGTAGCGTTCTCTCGTCCACGTGAAGTGGATCAGTGGAAGAGCTGACACATGGTCAACGGCTTAATGCATGTGTTCTCACGGCAAGGAACCAAAGTGGGCTGGTAAAATCAAAGGAGAGGTAGCAACTGAAGACGTGTCGAGAGCATGAATAAGGAGGCATCGCATCAGTGCGATTGACTTACCCACATCAGGATCCACGGCTTGCACTCTGGTCAGGAGAGCCTTGGTGGCTGTGTTCTCGTAGACACAGGCATTGTAGTGGTCGGAAGAAAACACAGGGGGATTATCATTCACATCCTCCAGGATCAGATGGATGTCAGATTGGCAGAACCTGCCACCCCCGTCGGTGGCCCTGGCAATCAGGTTGTACACAGGGACCCTCTCCCGGTCCAAAAGAGCCAAGGTTTTTAATTCACCTGTGAAAATAAAAGGCCTGGTGTTTCAAAAACCACTTTTCTTTGAAGAGCAGAGAATCAAGTAAATGAAGAATCCCCAGTACAGGAAGGACCAATGACATTTGGCTCAAGTGCCTCCTACTCTGAAAAACAGAGAAAATTCAATTGTAAGCATCAGGGAAAGAGCTACGAGATTTCTGGATGCAACAACAAATCAACTGCATGGCCTTCAAATTAATTAATCCCATTGTGAAATCCCTGGTATCAGGATTTCCTTCCTTTCGTTACCTGGAAAGCTACGTACCTCTTTAGACCTCTCAAGACCTGCTCTAGACATCAGCTATATATGTCTCTGGTTTTCTGCTCTATCTCCAGAAAAAGCATAGAGAATTGACAGAAGGATCCTTAGTCGTCTGACAGTCAGTCATGTCAATAATCCACAGACCCAGAAGGAGCAGTCTTCTCTGCTTCCAAGCTGCGTCCAACATGGTTTTACCCCGTCTTTTAGAGGAAAACCATCAAAATAGAGGCTGCCTTTGGCAGAAAGAGGTCTGGAAGGGATCCTATCGTGCCAGCATAAACACGACTTGCTGGACCATGGGAAGGGTTTATGGTTGCTTGAGGAGGGTTCCGGTGGGGGAATATTTGAGAGGTTTGGATCTGCAGGAATTTAGCAAGGTCAGGAGCTAAGATATACCTATATTTTAACCACTGGAAGAGCTGTACTGGTGCTAGGTATCAGCCGCCATAGACAGTTTGTTGTTGTTTAAATTTCAGTAGACGATGGCAACAAGCACAGTGACATAAATGCTATTGCTGAAAAGTAGGACTCGTGAAATATTATTATTCTTAAATAAAATTAGTAGACATTATTCAGACCAAGCCATCTCTTCTTATATGGCATTTCCTTCCATGGCTTCCTTGCTGTAAGCCAGTGCTCAAACATAGCCTGGACTATTTCCTCCTCCTACCCAGAAACATCCAGTGGTTTTTCAGTTGGGCATTCCAGACCTTCCACGATCAGCCTTAAGTTCTTTATCTCACTGCGATTTTCACAGGCCATCCTATAGCTCTTCTCACCAGTGCCAGGGTTGTGCATGGCATTCCTCGAATGTGCTGTGCTCTCTGCTCATGCTGGCCCCAGGACATGCAGTGCCCTGCCTCAGCCACTAGAATCATGCCTCGGTTCAATTGTCAGCTCTTCTTTAAAACAGTTTTCTCTTCCCCTTCATCAGAATATTAGCTACTTTTTCCTCTGTGCTCAGATATCACTCCCCTGATATCCTTCCTGGGTACTTATTTCATTCTCCCTTTTATTATTATTATTATTATTATTATTATTATTATTATTTTCCCCACTGGGTTCAATATTCCTTGGCCATGGCTTGTTTTACTCCTCTTGCAGCCTACCACTAATATACCATAAAGTGCTTTTATGTCTACTAGTTACTCAATGATTGTTAGCTATTGAATAAATAATTACTAGAACTAGATCACCAAGTTGTATATTTCTATGGACCTAAGTGCTTCCTATTAGGACACAGCTGACATGGGGGAGGGGCAGGGAGGAGTCATCATCTTTGGAGACTCAATAGTTAGGTTATTATTCATTAGGACAACACAACACTGGAAATATGCAAATTATTCTATCTTTACACTTCACTTACAAATTGCCATTGGATGAACTATTGGGAACACAACACTGAAATAATTTACCTCCATAAAAAATGTCTTTTCCATTAGCTCTGGCCTTCAATGCGGGCGTCTGCCTTTAGCATACATAATCTTTGACCTTACAACTTTTGCCTGAATATAGAAGCTAATCTGAGGGCTCATAGCTTTGGAGAAACTAGGTGGGAATATTTAATAAAAACCAGACAAGTGTGTTAATAAGCATTGAGAAGGGACCCAAAAGGGATTTCAAGAGAGAAAAACTCTCCTTACTATGCATTGCTGTCTCATTTGCAACTTGCATTTGTAATGTAACTCTATACTCTTTACAGGGCAGGTGCTTTAACTCACAGATACTAAAAACAGAAGAACCAAATAGACACACCTGATTACCTGATGCTAATGAATGTAGGGAAAGTCAGGGCATGTTTTATAGGCCAAATAAAGTTTGTGTGCTCCAGGGCACCCATCTTCAGACACCATGTGCAGCTAGTATTTCTTAGAGTCCTAGATAGCAGGCCATCATATCGATGATCTTGTAGGCTAACTACCTGCTAGTGATGAGTTTAACTTCTCTCATGGATTAACAATGGCATTTACCCCAAAAATAAATTTCACCTTACCACTTTCTGGATCTAGAAAAAATTCATTGTTTCCAGATCCATAGAGTGAGTATCGTATATCTCCATTGGATCCAATATCGGCATCCTTGGCATGGACTTTCAGGATGATTTTATTTGATGGAATATCTTCAGGAAATAATGCTGTGTATGCAACCTGGCAAAGGTAAAGAAAGGTATTTGAATCACTGGTATTTGTGAGGCAACTGCCATATTTTGCATTATAAATGATTTCTTTAAAAATGCATTAATGCACTTTGGGGCACCTGGGTGGCTCAGTCAGTTAAGCATCTGACTCTTGATTTTAGTTCACGTCATAATCTAACAATGGTGAGATTGAACCCCATGTCAGGCTCTGTGCCGGGCATGGAGTCTGCTTAAGATTCTCTCTCTCCTTCTCCTTCTGCCCCTCCCTGGCTCTCTCTCTCTCTCTCTTAAAAAAAAAAGACTCACGATTTTCTTTTTGTTTTTTTTTGGGTCAGGCAAAATCAGGTACCTGAACTTGCTACCTATACCCTTTCCATGTTTATAATGAATAATTCATCCTAGACTCTATCATCTATTCTCTTGTATCCAGTTGGAGCTTGGTAATTCAGGAGATAAGAGCAGAAAGCAGCCTGGCCTTCAGGAGAAAAATGAAATGGGTTTTGATTTAATTTTCGAGAAGCAGAGTAAAAAGCAGCAATATATCTGATATATCCGCAGATCTCACCTGATCACACACTGGGCTATTGTCATTCACATCACTGACAGTCACTTCTACCATGGCCTGCGTGACAAAAAGCCCGTCGGTAGCAGTGATATTGAGGAAGTAAATGTCTTGTTCTTCTCTATCTAAAGGTCTCTTCACATAGACCTTCCACTCACTCTGTACCAGGCCCAGAGCAAATCTTCCTCGGGGGTTCCCTCCTGTAGGGAAAAAAGTGTTTTTTGAAGATGTGCAATGAAAAGCTTTGATCTATACCTCCAGTGAAAGGCCTGTGTGGGGTCATCCAGCTGCCCCTTTTCTAACTGTATCATTTACAAAACTGGAAAAAAAATTGACAGTTACTTCCTATTGATGCTCTTGCAACAAAAGCAGATATTTATATGCTTGGCTTGTGGGAAACATAAAACAGTATCTTTCCAAGAGAATAAAACGCACTTAGAGAAACTGGGGATGATCTCTTGTTTAGTCCCCCTAAAGGATAATCAAATTCAAACTGTGAACAATGAATCCTCTTCTCCAGATGATACAATTGTCTTTCCATTTTGTCTCAAGAGAGGATGTAGTACACTATAGCTCTTGTTACCAAGACAATTTCATTAGCTGTTGATTATGCAATCAAGGAGAGGCAGTCAGTTCTATTAAGGAATCTTTTAATGAAGCCTTCATCATACAGCTGCACTCATCTTACAAGGACTGGAGTTTGGGGAAGAAAAGTTTGCGTGACAGAGGAAGACCCATTAGCATTAAGTAGCCCTAAGAGGGGTCATTTCAGGAGCAGTTCAAAGATAAGCACCGCAATTGGATCAAATTTCTTGGAGGGAAGCTGGGGATAGTGGAAGAAAAGGAGAAGAGATGAGGTGGAACAGCTTTTTATAATGCCGAAGCATTGACAGTGGCCTGGCAATATTGCTTTCCCACAACATTAAATTACATGGAGACAAAAGCATCTTGGAGGAGACAGGAAGAAGAGGGGAGAAGAAAACTGCCTTAACCTTCTAGTCCCGAGGAGGGAAACACTGTCACTTCAAACATGGAGGAAGACTGGACAGGACACCTGGCAAGAAGCCCAGAATCCAGTTAGATCATCACCGTTTCGTTGGTTCGGGCATTCCGCAAGTATCTGTCACCTGCTCTGGGCCAGGCACTGTTCCGGGCAGTAGGGCCACAGCAGCAGACAAAACTGGCAAAAACCCCTGCCCCCATGGGGGAGCTCAGGTCCTAGTGGGGAAGACTGACGACAGACCAATAAGTAAGGAGAGCATACTGCGTACTGGCTGTGGCTCTGTTGAAAAAGTGGGGCCGCCATTTCAACTTCTTTTTTTCTTTTAATTTTTATAGCATTTTAATTTATTTTTGAGACAGAGAGAGACACAGCACGAGTAGGGGAGGGGCAGAGAGAGAGGAAGACACTGAATCTGAAACAGGCTCCAGGCTCTCAGCTGTCAGCACACACCCTGATGTGGGGCTCGAATTGACAAACTTCAAGATCATGACCTGAGCCAAAGTTGGACGCTTAACCGACTGAGCCACACAGGCGCCCCCACTGCCAGTTTTTACAATGAGTCTTTAAAAGAGTGGAAGGTGAAGACTGTGGTCCTGGAGAGGGATTGAAGGGGAAGCAGGGGAATCCTGGTGCCAGACATGCACTTTTAAGGTATGGGGGCGGGGTCACTCCAGGGGCCTCAGCAGTGGGGGACAACCATAGGGTAAACGGACCACATTGGGAACAGACAGTACAGAAACGGTGTGGGTTGCACATCTCTCAAGGACAGTAGTTTTCTGTTGGGAGTGGCTGTGTACCACCCCCCACGCCGGGACATTTGTCGGTGTCTAGAGATATTTGTGAATGTCACATTGAGGGTGGTGGTGGTGTTACTGGAATCTCCTTGGTAGAGGCCAGAGATGCTGCCTATCATCCCACAAAATACAGAATGGCCACGCAGATCTAAGACTTATCCAGCCCCAAATGTCAATAATGGTGAGGTGGAGAAACCTGTTCTGGTCAGGCTCAGGGTCCTCCCTGGGATATCACTTTCCTCTGCCGCTGGCTACGATTCAATTATGCCTCCGTTGAATATTATTTTAGCATGCACAAATTTCACCTCTCCATTAAATGCCTTCAGTGCGGGCCCACATCTTTTGTTAAATAAAATGATTAATGGTCCTTTGTTAATCTGCGGCAGCGCAGCCAAGTTGTGTTACATCAAGAGCAAAAGTTAAATCTAATTAAAATCAGTTGGTGGTTGGCACTGCTAATCCTAACAGTAGCTTTAAGCTACTCTGTTCTCATTACATCGGTAAAGTTGATGGGATGGTCCCCTAAATCATCCATTGACAATTCAGAGACAAAGTATAAATAATTAAAGCTGAAAATTGAGCAATTCTTCCCAATAGAAAAGTAGCCCTCAGAATGCCTAAAAAGCTTTTTGTCTGCAACTGAATGCAAATAAATGTAAGTGATGCTTTACTCAACTTTTCTTTCCTTACTACTATTGCTCATGTCTTTTCTGCAGAAATATACATTTTAATGAAAACCAAAAAGAGGAAGGTATAAGATAAAGCACAGATGCATAGAATTTAAACCGAAAACACTATCAAGAAAACAACTCCATAAAGAAAAAGGAGAGAAGTGATGGAGAAGAGTGGCAATCCCAGGCATTGACACATATGCTCTCCTGTGAATCTCATTCTGCAGTGATTAATTAACTTTCCTCGTAAGGTACTTAAGCAGATTCTGTGTCCTGAGGGCATTCTAATTAATTCATTTTTCACTTTGAATAATGCAGTTTTTCTAAAGGGAAGCCACCTGACTACAAGTATTGATGGATTCTTTAAAATCTTTTGGCACTTTGCTTATGTTCTGCCTTTGAATGTCACAACACCAAAATATTAGCTTTAAAACCCTTAAATAGTTTTTAGGAAGACTGTTCTTACACCACCAACCTTCCCATTTGCAGTCGAAAGCCAGTCACCCCCAGAAACCCACCCTTGATCGGTGACATCAATGTGAAATCCTCTGCCCCTCAGAGCAATGGTGACATTTTTTGTCCACTCTGGGGGACCTCATTTGTTTATCTTGGCTTTTCCATCAAACTGCTACTTACTATTTGTAAAGACAAAAAAGGATCCAAGAAAACGGAGTTCTTGGGAGAAATGCTCTTTGGTTTACAGAGTTACAACTTAACGATATTTACCAAAAGGTCAAACCATGCCCTTTTAATTTGTATAGGTGGGTATATGTACATGCATAGTTTTCACAACCAGGAAAAACGTGTCAATGAAGCTTACTGGGATTTATTTTCCTCACCAATACAAAAAGTAGGAATTTAGTTAAAAACATATCTCCCTTCTCCCCTAAAAAGCTGTTTTCATTTCTGCAACTGAGATAGTTGGCTGGACTTCTTTTTAAATGATAAAAAGGAACACAAAGACTGGATACCAACCTGGGTAATCTTTCATGGGCCAACCAATGAACACCAAGCTAAGGCTGAGTTAGCAACAACCAATAACTGAAAAACTGTGCCTACTTGGAGATCTTTTGCTCAGCTCCAGAAAGGTTTTATTACTCTCAACCCCCATCCCATCTCCCTTCTTGTCTCCTACTGTTATCCCCTGCCTCTTCCCAACTAACTTCAGAAAACAGAGCACCCAGGGGCGCCTGGGTGACTCAGTCAGTTAAGCGACCGACTTCGGCTCAGGTCATGATCTCACAGTTTGTGGGTTCGAGCCCCGTGTCCGGCTCTGTGCTGACAGCCAGCTCAGAGCCTGGAGGCTGTTTCAGATTCTGTGTCTCCCTCTCTCACTGACCCTCTCCTGCTCATGCTGTCTCTCTCTCTCTCTCTCTCAGAAATAAATAAAAAACAGTAATGAAAAAAAGAAAACAGAGCACCCAGTGAAAGCCAAGGGTGGCTGACTTACCTGTAATATGGTAGCTCACTTGGCGATTAATGTCGGAAGTGTCTCTGTCCCATGTGCTGAGCACGGCTACCACTTCTCCGGGAGGGTCGCTCTCCTTCACATTCCCTCGGTACACTTCGTGGGCAAAGACTGGTGCATTGTCATTTATATCTGTCACTCTGACAGAGACCAAAGCCGTGGATGAAAGAGAGAAGGCATCTCCAAGGTCAGAGGCCACCACAGAGAAGGCAAAGGAGGGATCTGTTTCGTGATCCAGGTCCTTCAAGGTACTGATCCAGCCTGTGTTGCTGTCAATATTGAAGGCTTCCATTACCTTTTCAGGCTGGGAATCTGAGAGCAGGGAGTAGGTGACCTGCCCATTGGCTCCCCAATCCATGTCGATGGCTCTCACCTGAGTGAGTTTGGTGCCGATAGGCATTCCTTCCATTACTATCGTCTCATAGCTGGAAGTTTCAAAGACTGGCTTGTTGTCATTCAAATCCAGTACCTTGATATCTACGTCTACAGTAAACACAATGTCTACCTTGTCCAGGGGTATGGTGGCTGCTACCTTAAAGTGGAATGCTGGGCTAACTTCATGATCAAGGCGTTTGTCAAGCTTGATTGTGCCTGTTTCCTGCTCTATGATGAAGACTCCCCCTTTGTTATTTTCTGGCCTTTCCCCATTAACTGTACTGAATCTGACATTTTGACTGGGCAAAATTCTCAGGGTGTCCACTGTGCTCCCAATGGCTGTATCTTCTGAAACAGTAAAAGAATACTGAGACTGGGTGAATGAAGGCAAGAATGTTTCAGGGGGCAGGACATGGATGTAGACAGGAATGAGGGAGTGCTTTACTGGAATGCCCCCATCTACTGCTTTGACAAAGAATGATAACACTGTGTTTTTCAGCTGGTTAAAATTGCCCTTGGTGACCATCCAGCCATTGTCAGGATCGATTTCTAGGAGGTCAGCCACTGAGACAGAGGCCTCACTATACAGAGAATAGGTAATCCTTGAATTAGCGCCGTCATCTGGATCCATGGCTTGAACCTGAGTGACCAAATGTCCCCTTCCAACATCTGCCCTGACACTGGCTCTGTATTCCACTGTCATGAACTGGGGAGCATTGTCATTTTCATCCACAACAATCACTCTCACAGTGCAAAACGTTGTTCTCCCTCCACCATCGAGGGCCCTCAAAAAAATACTAATGTCTCCTTCCAGAGGGTTCTCCCGGTCAAGCCTTTCTGTTGTGATGACTTGTCCATTGCTGTCGATGAGAAATCGATCCTTAGCAAAATCATTGATGATGGCATAGCTGATCTGTCCATATGTCCCTGGATCCCCGTCTGTGGCTCGAACATGAATTACCTTTGTCCCAGCGGCTGCATTTTCTCTCACCTCAGCAACGTAGGTGCTTTGGGAAAAGGCAGGGCTGTACAGGTTAGCCCCAAGTACGCTGATATGCACCTGTGCAGTGCTCGTGAACAACCCATCAGACACTGACACATTGAGACTGTACAGAGGCTCCATCCTCTGCTTCCGGTGGTTGGATAGTGTGATGACGCCACTCTTGCTGTCCATCAGAAAGCTCGTCCGGTCATTCCCAGATAAAATGCTATACTCCAAGCGGTCAAAATCAGAGCTGTCTGCATCAGAGGCTTGAACACAGGTTACAAAATGGCCCCGGGGGGCTAATTCACTCACATACGACTCATAAATGAGCTGATTAAAAACAGGAGGGTTGTCATTTATGTCTGAGATATAGATATGAACCAGGACCTCACTGCTCAGTGATGGGAAGCCATTATCTGTTGCTCTGACTTTCAAAGTGCAGTGTTGCACTAACTCATGGTCCAGCATCCGTGCTGTCAGGATTAAGCCACTTGCACTGTCTATGTGAAAATAATCTGTGCTGTTGTAAGTGTCCTGGACAATCTGATAATGTACCAATTTATTGTTTTCCGAGTCTGCATCAGTACACACAACTTGCAAAACAGGTGTCCCAATGAGAGATGCTTCTGATAATGTTGTGTTATATGTGGGTTGATCGAAAATAGGGGGGTTGTCATTTACATCATTAACTAGCAAGTCAACAGTGACTTCGGCCCTGGCACCAGTAAGGGCATCACTGGCTCTTACTGTCAACTTGTAAACAGATGTAATTTCATAATCCAAAGGGCTAACGACTTTCAGGACCCCAGTGTCAAAGTCAATGTTAAACTGTTTATAAAGATCCCCATCAATAATGATATATATGATGCCTTGGCCTTCTGGACTGGTGGCATTGATGCTTAGAATGGGGGTATCCATTCTGACATCTTCATTGATCGATGCTGTATAAAAGGGCTTATCAAACACAGGCATTGCTTTGTTGACAATTGTGATGGGAAGTTCCACAGACGTGAATAAAGAGGGTTTTCCACCATCTTTGGCTACGATAGTGACTCCATACTCAATGTTGGACAAGTCAGAGTTGAATGCTTCTTTTAAAATAACATTCCCTGAATTAGGGTTAATCTCAAAGTGGCCATAGTCATCCTGTAGGACATAGGTCACTTCTCCATTTGCACCTTTATCTTTGTCAATGGCTGTCACCTGGTAAATCAGAGTCCCAGGCTCAGCATCAACTTGCACAGCAGCATAGTAAGGGAGGCCCACAAAGACTGGAGAATTGTCATTTATGTCTTCGATGTTTACCCTCACCACCACTCTAGCCACACGCAGATGGTCTAGCTCACGACTGGCTTCCACCACCAGCTCATATAACTCTTGTTCTTCACGGTCAAAGGGGACTCCAGTGGTCTGAATGACCCCTGAGGTAGATTTTATTTTGAACTTATTTCCTGGGTTTAAGATGCTATATTTTAAGGGCTCATTAAGGCGATTTCCAATGGCATTGACAATAGCAACTTTGGTTATGTTAGTGTTGTTCTCTGAGATTGAGGTCGAGTAAAAGCTTTGAGTAAAGTGGAGGCCACTATCCATGGCTTCTTTAACCAAGATAGTGACCACGGCCGTACTGTAGAACTTTCCGTCAGATACTTTAACTATCAACATGTAGTGATCTTTGGAGAGGTTGTTGTTTTTTATGGTGAGTACTCCACTGTTGGCTTCAATTAAAAAATGATCCAAGCTGCCTTCCATTAGGCTATATGTCAGTTCAGGGGGCACCTCGGAGTCAGGATCTGTGGCACTAACTTTCAGAACCTCTACTCCAACATAGGTGGGTAGAAGTAAGACAGTCTCAAACACAGCCTGAGTGAAAACAGGCGGGTTATCATTCACATCTGTTACCTCTATGTTGACTTCAACAGGACTCTCTGCAGTCAGCTGGGGGCTGCCACTGTCTCTCACATGCACGTGAAAATGGAAATGGGCGATAGTTTCATGGTCCAGGTTGGCAATTGTTCTGATGGCACCAGTACTGGAGTCCACTGTGAAGAACTTCTTGGCTGTGGACTCCACAATTTGATACACCAGCAGAGCATTACGGTTGCTGTCAGCATCGGTGGCTCGAATCACCAGTGGGCTGTTATCCAAGCTCCTGACAATACTATTGACTGGGGCAGCCTCACTTAGGCTGCCTGAATATTGAGAAAAGAGAAAAACTGGGGCATTATCATTTTCATCAACAATCTGAATGTTGACCGTGGCATTGGAAGCCATTCCTGCCATGTTCGTGGCTTGAACGATAAGCTGATAAGAGGAAGTACGCTCGTAATCCAGTGCCTTCCGGGTGGTGATGACTCCAGAGTATGGATTTATGGTAAAGCTCCCATCAATGTTTCCACCTTTGACTTCATAAATGAGGGTAGACTGACTGATGGCAGAGATTAAAATGACCGAAGTTCCAATATCAACATTTTCATTTGCTTCTGCTTGGTAGTCTTTGTGAGTGAACCTGGGGTGAGAATTATCAGACATGGTAACAGAAATGCGCACAATTGCAGTGGCAGACATTGGCGGGGAGCCCTGATCTGTGACTTTGACTGAAAGTACAAACTGACCCGTCGTCATCATGTCTGGTTCTTTGGAAACAGTGATGATGCCCAGGACCGGTTCAATCTTAAATGTGTTCCCAGTGTTCCCTACAATATAGAAATAAATGGGGAAATGAGTTACACGTCATGTTTTGAAGATTAATTCTTCATCTAAAGGCTACTGCAACATGGCAAGTGGAAAACAATTGTTACTACTCATTCCATCTCATTCTGAAATAGAATGAAAGGCTTCGCTTTTAGGGGTATTCAAAAGCAACTGAAATTTCGGACGAGTATCTTCTTAATCTAAGTTAACAACAATACAATACTGTGTACAATGTTACTGTGAAAAAGGCATATTTACCTAAGCCAGTGCTGTATTCTGTGTACCATGTTATGAGAAAGATAGTTGTGAGGCTGTTTCAGAACAGTATACCACAGGGATTTGATTGCAGATTACCCCAAAGGTAGGCTTTGCTACATGGAACTGGCATTTTTCACCCCATCAAAATCAACTTCACTCTAAACACTGCTTTGAGGATTCTGACTACCCTTCTGTCGTTCTCTTCCCCATACCCCAAAAGACACACATGCACACACAGACTTAAAACTAGGCATAAAAATTATAAGGCAGTCACTCCAATCTGTAACCATCCTATTCAGTACGTACTGGAGAGGCTTCCCATAAGGTAGCATCCCACTGATCATCTGCACCAGCACTAAAACCCCACACCTGAGGCATCACCCATCTGAAACTGAGGAACTGGCTCCCCACTTTGATGTGTCTGCAATGGGAAGGGCTGTGAGCCACACGACCCCAGAAGTTGAGAGCCCTGCTTCTGAAGTATTCAGCGGTGTGAAATCTGAGGTTGCTGAGGGTGAGGATTAGAGGGGAATAAAGAATGGGGAAAATTAAGACTGAAGGATGTAAAGAAGCTGGCTGAAGAGTAGTGGACAGTGTGAAGCAGAATCCTTCAGGGCTGCCTGGGTAGCTCAGCTGGTTGAATGTCCGGCTTTGGCTCAGGTCATGATCTCACGGTTCGTGAGTTAGAGCCCTGTGTCAGGTTCTCTGCTGTCAACACAGAGCACGCTTTGGATCCTGTCTCACTCTCTCTCTGCCCCTCACCTGCGTGTGCTCTCCCTCTTAAAAACAAATGAGCATTAAAAAACATTAACAACAACAAAAGAATCTTCACCAAGTTGCTTTTTGCTTCTCTCATCAGGCTTTCTGATACGTCTCGAAGAACACACATGCTTGTGTGTCTAGATTTTAACAAAATTAAAAATCTTGGTTATTCAGTTATATCTGGATTTTTCTTTCTGGTTGAAGTACTGAAGGATGGCAGGCATAGAGACAGCTTCAAGGTTATTATTATTAAGACAGTCTCCTGCACTGGCAGACACTTACATGTGTCTCCCGAAATAGGCAGCAAATACAGCTGTACACAAACTTCTTACTACGTACTTAGTCAACAAACTTCTCCATGCCTGAGAATAAAAAAGTAATGTTCAAGAAAAATCTTCATATTTTTAAAGAAGAAATTTAACAAAGATGTAAAGAACTCGATGCCAGCCCCCCCAATGTGAGAATTTAACAATATCATCTTTGGTGTCAGCATGAGTTTTTCCTTGCCTCTTCTACATGAGCACTTTGTGAGGACAACATGAAGTTATGAAGTTCAAGGATCGCATGAGCAGGCTTGCAAACGTTCAGTAAATAGTGGCATTGAGCGTGAGTCTAACACTTGACTCATAGACCCTCACGAGGCAGCAGGAATCACTTTGCTTCAGCACCTCAAAGGTAAAATGTAGAGGTTGTAGACATAATGGTCACCAACACACAACTCCAAATGCTGAATGCAACAGAGCCAAGTCTCTCTGTGCTCCTTGACTGTGGAGGCCTGCTGCAGAGTCCCTAGCTAAGTCCTCCTTCACTGTAGGTCCAGCACATTCCTTCATGCCCAGCAAGATATACATGGCAGGGAGGAAGGGGAGCCAGCTTCTGGTCTTGAGCAGAACTTCACAGCCCTGCTGTCCCACGGCCACTGCCCTGCTTGTCACATCTGCCTGAATGCTGTGCTCATACATCATGTCCAAAGTGGGCTCTCTGCCTCTTACCCTCTTCAACATACTGCCTGCCCAATATTCTTAGAATTCACTTCCTGCTTCTTCTTTCTTGCTATCCTTGAATCCTTGGAAAATACCCTCTGCTTGTTTTCTTGGAATCTATAGTTAGTTTCTTGTACTTTTGGCAACTGAGCAAAAGCTGAGCTTATCTTACCTTCTTATCTAGCACATAGCACAGTCCTGGCACAAAGAAGATGTTCAATAAATAGGTATTAAATGATTGAATGGAGAGGTAGAGCTAAAAAAACATTTTTAATTCTCTTTCTGTGTCCATCTTGGGGTCCAATACGCCCCCATCCTAACTCAATTCTTAGTCTCTGTCTCTTCTGTTTCGAAGCCCACCCAGGAGCTGCTATTGCACCGAACACAAACCTGAGCTAAACAGAAGTTCTGCACTCAAATTCCACCGCAGTCCTTTGGGCCAAAATAAAAGCTTCAGAAGTTATGTTAGAAGCCAGGCAGGGACAGGAAGTTTATGGTCCACCAATAACCAGAGTAAAATCTTGCTTATCTGAGGTTTGTAAGAGAACTTAAGTAAAATGTCCACTTGCCGTAACCACTTTGTCATTTGCTTCAAAATGTAAAAGCATCTGGGTTCTCCCTGTCTCCTACCATGATGTGGGAAGGGACTGGCTTGGCCAGGAGCAGTCAGGGGCAAGTGGAGGTCTGTCTGTCCGTAAAGGAGCCCCATCACCACATGTGGCTTTACTATGCACACAATGAAATCCTCATTAGCTTCTTACACATACAATCAGGGGTCATTGTTTGAGATACGATTTTTTGAGATACCAAGCATTCCTATGAGTTTTTTTTTAAATTCAAGTTTTCTATATAAAAGATGTTTTAAGGAAATAACTTTTCTCTCTAATTTTAATCTACTGTTATAAGAATGATGGAATCCCTTGTCTCTGCACAGCACCAAGCTGTAGCGTGTGGCTGCTGAAAGATAAGAAAAGCAGTCTTGTCAGGCAGATGGGAAATGACTCTTGGTTTAGAAGTTATCTGCCTCTCTAAGAGAGTGTTAAGTAGTAGCCTTAATGACAAATACAAAAAGCAAGTAGACACCATAGACAATGCTTAGAAAATGTTAAGTAAAAAAACAGAAATAAGACTCCATAGCTAAATGATCACAATGGTATGAAACAATGCATATGCACAGATGAATACTGAGAAAAGGAAACTATATATCAGATTAGGAAAGAATCTAAGAGTTGTTGGATCAGGTGACACTTTCTGTGACATTATTTAGATATTTGTGTATTTTATTTTTTTAATTCTTTTATGTTTTATTGATTTTTGAGAGCAAGAGAAACAGAGCACGAGTGGGAGAGGGGCAGAGAGAGAGAGGGAGACAACAGAATTGAAAGCAGGCTCCAGGCTCTGGACTGTCAGCACAGAGCCCGACCTGGGGCTCAAACTCACAAACCCTGAGATCGTGACCTGAGCCGAAGTCGGATGCTTAACCGACTGAACTACTCAGGTGCCCCAAATATTTGTTTTTAAAAAGAAGTTGTCCTACATTATTTGTGGATCTAAAACAAAGATTATATAATTAAAATTTCCTGTGGTAAACAACAGACACAAAATAGCATTTAAAAGAAAAGTACTGGTCAGGCTTTAGGTTAGCAGGAAATTCCATAAAAATCTAGAATAGATATTGGTGAAGTTGCTTGGGGCACCTGAAGTTATGAACTAGGGTCTTTTATTTCTTTATTTTTTTTGTATACAGCATAGGTTAGACTCCTATAAAATGTGGGTGCCTAATACAGGAAACCATTTGAGATTATCATTCGATGCAGTGGCTTTTTTTTTTTTTTTAATAAAGAAGATTGTTGGCTTTTCCTTTTCTAATATTTTTCAGCCCAAAACTGTCATTCTAGCATTCATATTTTAATTCAACCACTCACAAAAATGTTCCACATTTAAATCACAAGAAAGAAGCTTTTCCAGCACTGGTATACAAGGAGACAGCATTTGGCATTATGCACAACAGACATAATGTTGCAGAACATTTTGGAAATATGTGGCTTGACTATTCAAAGAACAACAGAAAAGGGGAAGGGAAAATAGAGCAGGTAAGGGATATTTGTAATTTTTAGGTTCACAGTCCTATCCCTTGCTTGGATCCTCCTCTCCTCTGTCAGAAATGCTTTCTTCCTTTTTCCATCTTCAAAACAGTGAAGTGTGGTCTTGCCTTATAGACGGTCAAATCAATTGGTTAAGCATCCAACTCTTGATTTCAGCTCAGGTCATGATCTCACAGTTCTTGAGATCAAGCCCCGTGTGTTGGGCTCTGTGCTGACAGAGCAAAGCCTGTTTGAGATTCTCACTCTCTCTGTGCCTCCCTCCCCTGCACACGCTCTTTCTCTCAAAATAAATAAAATTTAAAAAAATTTAAAAATCTCAAATTTAACAAAATGTGAGCCTCTATTTATTTCTTTGTCCAGTTAAGTAGACATTTCAATAACTACCACCTACTCTGCTACTCTGAATCACCTCCAGTGAAGTGAATTTTTGCACACAGTGGGGGTGGAGGCATTTTTGAAGCCCACAGCTCACCCACTGACAAATGAACAAAGACATGTGGGATCTAATTCACAGGACATCCTGGGAGCTCTCAAAAGATGGAAGGCTTTGGTTATTTTAGTCCAAGGCCATGGCTTGTCGACCCATTGGTAAAAGCCACTGTGTTCACCACGCATTTCTTCTCTTTCAATCCAGAAAAATCCAACAGTAACACAATAAAAGGGAACTTTCTCCTCACTGTCAGTGATGGAAAACATATTACAGAAATGCCAAGGACTGTATATAGCATCATCACGCAAATAGGGCAGTTGCTTGGCCAAGCAATTCTTTTGGGGATGTTCCAGGGGTAACAATGTGAATTTCACATGGTGATCAACACTGCGGAGGGTCAAATGCCATGCATTATGTTACAATCTGTGCAACAGCTCTCACCTGCTTCTATGGTATATATGAGTTCTGCATTTTCCCCTTTGTCTTTGTCCAGAGCCGTCACCTGCAGAACAGCTGATCCCAGAGCAGCCGATTCAAATACAGATGCTTCATACAGTGGGTTGGTAAAATAAGGACTGTGATCATTAGCATCTTCCACATTCACAATGACTCGGGCCAAGTTTCTTCGATAAGGAAACTCCTGATCTCTGACCTTCAGGCAAAATACAAGAAGCAGCAGGGCTAAAATCTTAAATTGCAAGGAAGTCACATGGCTATTTCTGTGGTAAATACCAAATGAGGTAACTCACACCAAGTGCTTGATGTAGTCCTGGGCACATGGTAGGTGCTCAGTAAATGATGGTACTCTCAACCAGGACACTAATTGTGAACAAATTCAGGGCAGGGGCCCCATCCATTTAATTGCTCAGGATTCTGACTGGCCTATGGTCCATCCTCAGTCTGTGTTTGTGGAGCTGATGAGTGGACATCACCAACACAGCACTTTTCTCTGCACCCCCCCCCCCATGCCCACACAGCCACTACTCCCCGCTAACAGAATGGCAGACAGAGGCTCTTCTGAAGGGGAAACAAAAAAAGTTTAATGAAAGAATTAATAAATGCAAAGCAGGCACTGCCATTTATTCATTCATTCAACAAACATTTAATGTCACCTATTATCTGTCAAGTCCTGGCTTCACTCTCTCCCAAGTTCAGCAGCGATTCAGATTTGGTCCTTGCCCTCAAGAAGCTAACAGGTGAGCATGGAGGAGGGCACTTTGGGGATGAGCACTGAGTGTTATGTGGAAAGAAATTTGACAATAAACTATTTGTAAAAAAAAAAAAAAAAAAAAAAAAGAAGCTAACAGGTGAGTGGGGAATAGAAACAAGTAAGCACGTGTAAGGCCTGGTGGTAAGTGCCAGAATGGGAGTGAGGAATAAGAAGTTAATGCGGCATTCAGCTTTTTGGAAGAGGTTAACAAAAACAAGTAAAAGTGGTAAAATGGTGGCGTGGACCACATATTTCAGGCAAGAGCCAATTAATGTCAAGGCTCAGAACTGAGGGTGAGCTCTGATTACCAGGAAGATGAACCAAATCTTCCTAAAATGTGAGACCCCCCCCCCGCCCTTGTGACTTCACCAAGGAACCTTGGCTGACTAATTTAAAGTTTCCCCTGCTTTGCATATGCCAAAAGCTTGCGAATGATCAATTCTTTAACCCTAACCACATGATTTTGCTATAATTTGCTGTAGCACTCATCAAATGGGTGCTTTCCGTTTGTTCAATTTTAGACTCCATAACTTCAGAGGGATGTGAAGAAATTAGAAAATAGACCGAGGAGAGCCATCGAAGGGAAAAGGGCTTTTCAGAAATAGTACCTAGAAGGAATAAGCAAAATGACTTAAAATGGCTTTGCTTGGAGAAAGGCAGCACAAAGGACATGTTTGCTCTAAATAATCAATTACGCAAATGATAAATGATACAGGGTGACGAAACTGAATTTTGAGTTTGTTAAGGAAAGAATGAACAGAAATGACTTGAATAGTGAGAATGGAGTTATTTGTCAGTATAAGGTTTCTGCCCCTGAATAAAACACATGCAGAAGCAACCCAGTGAGTGTGCTCATTTTTCCTGCCTGTAGACTCGCCCCCTACACCCAAGGAAGGAGCTGAACCCTATATGGGGATTATTAGAATCTAGGTCTGTTCCAGTGGAATGTCTCTTTTGTATCCTCAGTGCCTAGAGCAGGGCTTAGGACACAGTAGGTGCTGAAGAAATAACTGTTGAATGAATGAGGGTGGATCTGAGGGTCTCTGAGTCCCTCTTCTTCTGCCCCCGTGTGTCAGCCGGAAACCACAGCCAAGGGCATGGCATTCGAACTTTCTCTTGCCCAGGAGGGTTTCCAGACTTGGGAAGGAAGAGTGGCACTCAGTAGAACATCACCTTCAGCTGCTAGGAAACTGGGAGCCTCTTAGTGTATCTGAAAGCCAATAAGTACACAAGCTTTAGTCTATGTCATCCTACCTGGTCTTAAGGGACTCAGGGGGTCTGTTAGGCAGTGGCTGTGTAACTGCCCCCAGGGCACTTAGGTGGTCAAAGGAACAGTTTTCAGGCCATAAACTAATCCAGGACGTTTCTGTTTCACCTCTACTTCCCACTTATGTGAATTCAGACAACTCCACTTTAAAATTAAAAATTAAAGCAACTTCCACATAATTTGGAGGCCCCGTGAACCCCACTTCAGACCTAACACGCTCTGCAGGCTTCAGGATGTTTTGAGATCTCTTTTGGGTGCCAGTATTTACTACTAGGTCCAATGCCAGGCCAGTAAATAATAAATCAGTTCCCTAAATGCTTCCAAGCATTGAGCACTGCATGGGGGGGTGGGGGGGGGAGGAGTAAATGATTACCATTGTGATTAACTTCTCAAGGAACTTCTGTTAAACTTTTCCACAAAAATCTGGATGCAAACCAACATCATAGCCTGGGAGATTTATGGAAACACGGCCTGTTCCTTCCTTCCCTAGTCAGCCTGTCAGCTGTGCTTCCTGGGAAGCCGCTGTCTGAAGAACTCATCTAACATTTCAGTTGGGCAAAAGTAACGAGTCAGTCTGTAACAATAGCCAATTCCTCACCGAAATAAAAAAGCGAAAAAGGAAGGCAGCCCTGCTGTGGAAAGACCAAATTTACTACTACTTACAAAACGTAAGGGCCCTGTACTTCTGAAGACCAAGGAGTGTGTCTTGAACGGTCAATGACTCTGTTAGGAGAGCAAATCAGGAGTTCGGTCCTACCATTATGTTGAGGATGTGCTTGTCTTGGGCCTCATGGTCCAGCCTCTCGGCAGTGTAGAGCACACCGGTGCTGGGGTCAATCCGGAATTTTCTCATACTGACGGAGTCGATGCTGCTGTGGACGGTGTAGCTCAGCTTGTGTTTCTCGTCTCTATCGGTGGCTTCAATCTGCAATATCTCTGTATCTGGAAGCACATCCTCGGAAATTGTTACATCGTAATTCGGCTGAGAGAATTCTGGGCCATTATCATTATTATCCAGCACTTTGATAAATACCTAGAGTTAAAAGAAGACAGGAGTGATGACTAATGCCAATTCACTCATTGCTAATAAATAACCCCCCTCCCCCCAGCCCTCCTCCCTCCATGTCCTCGGAGCCCAGCTTCTAGTGACTCTCTCAATATGTAGGAAGATCTTGTATGAAAACACTCTGTAATTAGAGGTGGACAATAAACCAGTGGTTCACATTAGCAGGAACATAAACTATGAGCTAATCAATATTCTCACTATTAATTGAACAGCTGAGACAGCCCCCTGGGGGTGATAATTCCACAGGCCTATTTGAGGCACAATGTAAGAGATCGCAAGGTGACCTTAGTTGGTTAAGTTCCTATTATCTTAAGTTCTGTTCTGAGCTCCTCAGGGTGGATGTGCCGTGGAAGCAGTGACAGGATGGGAAGAGTAACAAAGAGGCAGAGGAAGGGGAGGCAGGAACACAGACGCAGTATCTTCAGAGCAGTCAGAGCTCCTCAAGTGCGGCGGCCCCACACAGTGGCCCACTTCAGATGCGAGGGGTCTCACCAAGAACATGGCACTGATGACGGCTAAAATGGAAAGTCCCCAAGTTGTTTTCTTTTGTCAGCCATTTTAATATAAAACATTTCAGGCAGACATAAATAAGTATAGTAATAAAATTGCTAAGTCACAGTTTAATGAACCCTCACATATTTATAGCTCAACTTTGACCGTGATCAATTTACGGCTTATCTTGTTTCATATATGTAATTGTTCATCTCCATCTGCTCCCCATATTAATTTGAAGCATATCCCATAATTTCAGTGTGTAACTCCAAAAGATAGGGATCCTTAAAATAAACACATACATGCTACCATCGCTGCACCTAAGCAGAGAAAACAATAATTCCTTAACATTAAATATTCAGGGTGCTTATGTTTCTATAATTTTTTAGTGTGTTAGGTATGTTTATAAACATATTTTAAAACATCAGAATATTTAAATGCAGTCCAAACATTGCATTTGGTTGGTATGCCCTTTAATTATCTTTTTTCTTTAAGTTTATTTTGAGAGAGAGAGCGAGAGAGCGAGCATATGCAGGAGGAGAGGCAGAGAGAGAGAGAGGGAGATAGAGAATCCCAAGCAGGCTCCACGCTGTCAGCATAGAGCCTAATGCAGGGCTTGATCCCACGAATCATGAGATCATGACCTGAGCAGAGATCAAGAATTGCCATTGATGATCATTACGTAGATAACATTTATTTGCATTTATATAAATACAAAATGTCAAGGTTTTAATTCTGATTTATTTCTGATTTATTAGCTGCAATAGTTCTGAAAAGAAACGTCTCTCCAATTATTTGGTTGCTCTGAAGGACAATTCATGTAGTGAGGTCATAATGAATACTTAATTCTTTCCTTTTATTTATCATTTCAAAATAATGGTTCTTCAGCTCTTCCCGAAGTGGCCAATGAAACATTTTTTTTCAAGCATCAGCATGAGCCCATGAATTTAATCACAGCTGATATGTTTCTGTCCACTGCAGTTACTAGACTTATTGATGCACAAAGGGTCCTTCCTTGGGCAATGGGAGTTTCTTCAAGTTGGCTCATGAGATCTTTTGACACAATCCTAGTAGTCTTTGCTGTCTAATAATTGCTACTGGTAATTTTTTTTCCAGGGTCACCGCATTTCCAGGGTCACCCAGTCCTGTATTATCCATTTCTCCAAAAAGCAATAGCTTCTTTTTAGTTAGAAGGGGAGCTAGGAATTATCATTGCTGTTGGATTTACTATTGTGTTTAGTTTGCTTCAAAGGACAGAGTCAGTGAGTTTTTTTGTTGTTGATAATCATTTCATGAGTTCATACTGACAGAGCCAATTCAAAATTAGGGCATCACAATGTTTACAGCAGCTCTATCAACAATAGCCAAAGTATGGAAAGAGCCCAAATGTCCACTGATGGATGAATGGATAAAGAAGTGGTATATATATATATACATACACACAATGGAGTATTACTTGGCAATCAAAAAGAATGAAATCTTGTCATTTTGCAACTATGTGGCTGGAACTAGAGGGTATTATACTAAATGAAATTACTAAGTCAGAGAAAGACAAATATCATATGACTTCACTCATACGGGGACTTTAAGACACAGAACCGATGAACACAAGGGAAGGGAAGCAAAGATGGTATGCAAACAGGGTAGGGGACAAAATATAAGAGACTTGTAAATATGGAGAACAAACAGACGGTTACTGGAGGGGTTGTGGGAGGGGGATGGGCTAAATGGGTAAGGGACATTAGGAAATCTACTCCTGAAATCATTGTTTTACTATATGCTAACTTAGATGTAAATTTAAAAAAATTTACATATATATATATAAAAACAAAATTAGGACATCAAGGTTTTTACTTAATCTCATTCTTTTTATATCTGTATCCCATGCTAAAACCCTATGTTGAAATTTCTCATGCTCAATAACATCATCACAATTACTCAGTTTTATATGAAATACGTGCACACATGTCTCAGAATAACAATAATAACATTGGTGCTGTAATTCTATCACAACTATGATTGTTCAAAAACAACTTAATATTATTTTTAGTTCCTTTGACCTTTGAGATTTACCCCACTAGAGATATGCAGTCAAATTAGTATGTTTAAAGTCACAGAAGAGTTCTTCTCTGGGAGATATGCCACCAATACACTTAAGTTCATTCGCTTCCACTTATTTTTTAAATTTTAAACTTGTTTTAACATTTAATTTTGTTTTATATGATATGTAAAAGTACCAATGTCCAATTTACAAAAAAGGTATAGTCAAAATAGTTTAGCTTCTCTTTCCCCTTAACCCATTCCCTTCTCCTACAGCTAATGAGTTTTTAAAGATTAATGTTATATCTTATCATCTCTTTTGTTAATATAAACATATTGTATACACGCCCCCCCCCCCATGCACTTTAACTTAACATCATATCAATGATTCTCAACTGGGGATAACTTTGTCCCTAAATGGATATTTGGCAATATCTGGAAATATTTTTCATTGTCACAATAGAGTGTTGGGGGTGTTCCCGGAATCTAGGGGACAGGGATGTTGCTAAACATCCTGCAATGCAGAGGACTGTCCTCTGCAACAAAGAACTATCTGAACCAAAATGTCAATAGTGTCACTGCTGAGAAACTGAATTATCATAGTCCACAGCAATATAGAGATACTCTTCCAATGGGTAGATGGATCATGGTTAATCCAACCATTCCTCTACTGATGTTCATGTCAGGTGTTTCCAATTTCACCTTTAGAAAAAAATGCGCAAGGAAGAACCCTGTGTCCAGGTCTTTCTATTTTTTTTTTTTTTTTTGCTACCATATATTTGAGTCCCTAGAATTGTGAGTGCTGGATCAAAGGATACGTACTTATATAGTTTGTTAGTTATTTCCATATTCCTCTTTCCAAAAGTTTTATTAATTTGCATTCCCATAGCAATCTATACGAATGACTGTCTTCTACAGCTTTGCCACCAAAACATGTACTCAAACTTTTGAATTTTTTGCCAATCTGATAAATAAGAAATAGCATTTCACTGTACTTTTAATTTGCCTTTCTCTGAGGAAGGGCATCTTTTCATATGCTTAAGAGTTATTTGCATTTCTTTTTCTGTGAAAATTATTTATATCGGCTGATTCCTTTATGAGTTAGATGGCCTTTTCCTTCTTTATTTTTAGAAGCATGGTGATATAAATTGCAAATATGATTTCAATTTTGTTATTTAACTTTATTTTGCTATGGTGATTTCTTTCCATGCAAAAGCTTTTATTTTTATTCTTATGAAATTGAATACATCAATCTTTTCCCTTATTGTTTCTGGATGCTAAGTCATAGCATAGAATATTTTCTACACTCCAGGTTATAGGTGAATACACTCATTTTTTTAAAAATAGCATTTACACGTTCCCTTTCCTTACATTTACATCTCTACTCCATTTGGAATTTTTCCTATATTATGTGAGAAATGGAGAGAATTTCATTTTTTTTTCTAAGGGGCTCTCCATTTATTTCAATAATACTTTTTACAAGACCAGCAATTCCCCACTGATTTGAGAAGCCACTTTAATTGTGTGCTACGTTTACATATGCACAGGGTATATTTCTGAATTTTCTATTTTGTTTAGTTGGTTTCTTTGTCTTCTCATATGTCAATATAAAATTGTTTTAATCATAAAGGCTTTATAGTATGTTTTAATTGCAAGAATTAGGCCCTTTCTTTGTTCTTTTTAATGGGATTCCAGGCCATGCTTGCTTGTTATTCTTCAAAATGAACTTTATAATCAACTTGTATAGCACCTGACAAAAAATTAAGAGCGTTTTAAATTGGATTATGGTGAGAGTATAGTTTAACTACATGAGAACTGACTCTTTCTGATGGAGTTGTCCTATCTAAGGACATAGTTTGTCTTTTTGCACTTGTTCAGATATACCATTTTATTTCTCAGGGATGTTTCAGTTTTCCTCAAATAGATTTTAAATACTTTTAAAGTTTATGCATGTGCTGTTGTAAATGAGGTCTTCATTTCCATTCTTTTCTCCTCCTCCTTCTTCTTCTTCTTCTTCTTCGCTATTTAGGCTATTGATGTGTATGTTAAATTTACAGTCTGTTACTTTACTAAAGTTTCCTATTATTTGCAGTAGCTTTTCCATTTACTCTTTTGAACTTTTCAGATACATGATTATACTATATGCAAATAGAAATAGTTTAACTTTTTTCCTTTTTTTTCTCTTTAAATACACTTGAATATATAATGTTGACTCATTAACATGAATTCATAGCTAACAGCACTGTAACTCAGGCCGGAATGAAGCTCATGGAACACACATATTTTCTCTGTAAGGCACGTCAGCATGTCCTTCTTGTACTTGGGAACACGGAATTGCATTTTAGCACTACACTTCGGGCTCTTCTAAACAATGAGATTGCTGACAAAGAACCCAAGAATGCAAACAAATGTGGCATTACAGATTGCAAACAGGA